TTGTCCAAACCAATAGTCATGGAAATAAAAATGCTAAAAAGTTAATTTTCGTGTTCCGTTACATGTGTGAGCCACTGCATATAAAAAATTTACAGAGTGGTGGTTATTCGACAGGATCCGGTATATTAATGATTTTACGATATTTAAGGTGATAATTATCTCTGGCAGAAATATCCCTCTAAAATTGTTCTATTTATCTAGTCGAATCGAAAATGCAATCGTCTAGCCGCTGGAGAAAATGCTCAAAATGCAATCATATATTCAGCGATTACAAACGTTGGTGTGGTCTTTATCAATCAAAATACTTCGAAACTGTTCATCCGAATTGGACAAGTTGGGCACTATACATCAGGCGACTTGGCGTGAAGATTGTTGGAATGGATGGGATAGAGAAAAATGATTGGGTAAATATAGGTGGAAAGTGTGAGGTTGCACTAAAAATTTTCAATAATTCATAGAATATCGATATGTCGGATGAGTTTTTGAGTTACGTAATAATTTTTTTTATTAAACAAATTCATGGAGATCTTCATAGCGGTAATACGTATATGGTGCATAACATCGTCATCAAAACTTTTGTATTTTTAAAATGGATAAACTTTACTAGGAAGTAAATACAACATCTATTCCGTGAATATGATGGAATAGGCCCTTTCTGAGCATATTCACAGGTTAAATTTTGTATTTACTCCCTAGTAAAGTAGTTTATCCATTTTATAAAATACAAACGTTTGATGACTTTAATCTTGGACTTTGTCGACCGGCAGATAAAAAAACTGATACCAAAGAAATATACGGTGTTGTACATATTTAGCACCTGAAGCCTTATGTGGAAACCGTACACCTAGGCGGCGGACATATAGTTTTGCGACGATAATATGGGAAATGACTTCCGCTAGACAACAATTTTTCGGTCGTACACATAAACTTCAGTTGATTATGGAAATTGTTGGCGGAGCTAGACCAACAATCATTGAAAGAACTCTAAAATGGTTTGGAATGAAGGCACAAACAAACGACCTGCTGCAACTGAAATAGTCGACACATTTATTATTAATGAATTCAAGACACGTTTAACGCACCAGTTTTATTGTTATTTAGATACATTCGATTTCGATTTACAAATTGATTAAGAACTTCGTCTTCCAACGCAAAGAAGCTTTTGAAATATTAGAAATCTCCTCATATGAAAATACTGATGATGATGTTTATATCGATATTGTGCATATCGATATGATAAACATGATTCTCATTACAATCTCTATGAAGCAAAAAATTATTGCCTCGAACATTCTAGCGCTAGATTTCTTCCTATTCGCATAAAGATAAGGAATTAAGGAAACATAGTTGTAAGAAGGCCCAAATTACAGCACAAATGGCAACAATATCGTAATTATATTTTAACACTTTAATTGCATTAGCGGTACTAAAAATAAATAATATCATTTATCGCGAATGCATTAAATAAAAGCAAAAATATCGATATAAACTCACCTGGTAGGTAAAACTCCACCGTCAGTTCGAGTAATGGCGCCAGTAGTAGTGGTGTTAGTAAATGTTGAGTTGTGTGTCATGGTGGGTGTCGAAGTGGGAATGGTAGTGGTGGCCTTAGTAATAAAAAACTATTCATTAATTAAGATGGAAAGCGATGCAAATATTAATTCTCATACATATTTACCGTAGTTGTAACCGTCTCGTTGTTTGAACGATTACTTTTGGCCAGAGCAACAGCAAAAGAGTAAAAGAGGAAGATGAAGGAAAATTTGAGAAAGATTTGAGAATTCATAATTTAAGGTCAAAAGAAATTGGTACTTGTTTTGATCTTGAAAGTGTTGTTGTGACATACATTTACTCTTTTATCTATAAAATTTTCTTTTCATCTATCAGAATTAAATCTGTTGCATTAATTGTATTAGTAGAATAAAATACAAATCCGCCTTCTTATCATTTAATTCATGGGTAATAATATGTCATTTCTCAAAATTGAAAACGCGTAAAATATGCTTCAAGTGTAATAACACCCTAACGCGTCTAGTCACTGATTAAGTGCGTAATAAACATCAATCAAATCAAATCAATCATCCGAACGAATCAATCAATACTGATTAATGCACACGGCTTAAGAGAAAATGGCATTGACTTGATGAAAGTCTATATATAAAGAACTCAAAACTATTTCAATTGCAACTTCACATTTCTAAAAGGGTAAATTTTTAATCAATCAAAATGAATCACATTAATTCGTTCATCTTTTTCTTTTTCGCGCTCATTTTTTTAATTTCGGTTTGTGGCGTAAATTGTCAAACTACCGCTACCACGGTAAAATAAATTATTTTGTCATGTGTTTATACTCACGTGAAATAAGTGTACGAACAATTTCACAGGTACGAACAACCGTAACCGAAACAGTTCCCGGTACAACGACAGTAACCACATCGATGTCAACCAGAACAAACACCGTTACAGTTACGACTACTTCTGGAACTAGCACCACCACTATTGCTACTTCAAACAAGTATGTATGTTTAATAAAACACATTCAATAGAAGATTATATTTGTTAACTGCATGTATTTTCTTTGTTTAGTCCATTTAGTTCAATCATTAATATACCTGCAGCTGTTAAACCAACTGCTATCGCCAAAGAAGCTAACTCAGCAAACATGAATATCGGCATTAAAACCGTGCATTATTCATTTAATGGTATAATGGGCATCATCGCTGCGTTCAATATCATATTGGCAGGAATTACTCTTGCTGCGTAATTTTTGTTTTCTTAACGCTCTTGTACTTTATACGTACTACAGTACAGTATTTTAAATGATAATACATGTATCAATAAATAACTAATCAGATAGCAAAAATTACATCATTTTTCACAATGATATCGATATACTAAAAATTGGTTTTTAACCGGTTGCGGAAAAGAACAATCGATATCCCTTATCTTGTTGCAAATCGTTTTGGCGCATATATCAATACACTCACCATCCACATAAAATCTGCTTTCTCGAAAATAATATGCACACGAAAAATAATACTACACAAACTCGAAAGAATAATCTCTCTCTGTAAAACACACAAACTGAAATAATACTACACATTCGAAAGAATAATTTCTCTGCAAATTCGAAAGGATAATTTCTCTGAAAAACATAAACAAACTGAAATTTTGCATATTACTGCGATAAAAAATCCACAAACGGATTATGTATAGAAACAAAAATTGGAATAAAATAATGACGGCCGAGATTATTGAAAATTCTGCCGCCTTCACTTGGCTATTTAAATTTTTTCTCAGGGAGCAAAACGTTCTCCCCGTGCAATCAGTTCCTTTTCAATTGAATCGAAATTGTTGTGCTCGGGGGGTTTTTTGATGATTTTCGCGGTCAATTCATAAAGAATCTTGGTTCCGTGAGTATAAACGTATATAAAGAATATATAATTTTTTTTGCTAGTTACCGAGCTTTTGATTTTTTTATATAGTTCTTTTGAGGGCCGCTAAATATCTAATCTAATCGTCGCCGTGAAAGATCTTTTCCGCCCGCAGAGAATAACGGGAATAATTTTACACTACATCGCATTATTCTTGAAAGAAAATATCTGGCTTTTGGCAGGAATCAAATCTCATGCAGGCAATTAGAAACGGACTAATCACTTACATTATTTTTTCTTCTTATCTAAAAACACGTGTAGTAGATTCTTCCCATGTCTTGTCTAGATTACGAAATACATGTACATGTATATTTTTATAGCAATACACAGTGACTCGTTATCCGCTTTATCGAGATATTTGATTAAATGCTCAAATAAATCGAAACATCGATATTATAATTGGAAATTCCTTCACACTAGGACAAATCTAGCTTAATAAATTCTATAATCCTCACCAACATTATATCTGTTTGTATTGAGAATGTGCAAATGAAGGTTGTGCCAGTGCAGAAAGACTGGTCTTAAGGTAGAGAAAGAAAGGAGAATGATACCAGTGGCAGTAATCGCAAAGCATTTATCTATTCGGTACTGAACCGCCACATTTTACTATTTTTAGCAGTGTATACAGAAATGCCAAGGGTTGTCGAATTACATGTACATTTTGGATGTAACGGTAATGTTGATACCATTAGCGTTAGGAAATGTATCCTGCAGAGTTTTTCCAGAAAATACTTGATTTTAAACTCAAGTGATCCACTGAACTTTGTTCGATTATGATACGTAGTTATATACGTGAATGCAATTTTTATTTTTGATATTAACGTTAATACAAAAATGAATATACATGTATTTATGGTAACACATTTTGTAAATCGCCTCTGGAACAATCAATCCTCAATTATTGCCCATCTCGCTTCCATTGATATTTCCTCCATTAAGATTAGCCCAATTGGCATCAGCGAGGGAACATTAGCATTATGATAAACATCCGCTGCCGATTTATGAGACGAAAAAATGTTAAGATATATACAGTTTATTGTGGAATCACCATTCCATTTAATCATTGGATTGTAATAAATACGTAATAACAAAACTCTGAACAAATAAACTACTTTCCAATATCCCTATAAATTTAAAACTAGATAATAATTATAAAAGCTGAAATTTATACTTGATTCTTTAAAAGAAACAAAGACAATGTGATAATATATTTATTAATATACAGTAACGGTTAAAAGAATGCAATATTTTTTACCAATCCTGCATTAACACCTCTGCTATAACTCTATACCTATATCAGGCATTTCTCCAATAATACATTCGAAGGAAAGGTATATATGGGAACTTTGTTCGATCCATAGAAGCCTTCAATTACTTCTTCGAGCGAAATTTTAATCTTCGGGGAAATAGGCTTTTCACATGATCCAATACTCAATTTGCTGTCCAAGGTTGTAACAAAGTTAATACCAGCGCGGTAGTTTAATAATCCACTAAGAACACTAATCCCTATACTTATTTGTGGCTTTAAAGATGCAGCTACATCTACCGTTCCCGTAAGATTTGCATCAGGAGGAGGATGTACAGTTGAATTAATGTTAAATTCCTTCTTTCCAACACCTTTACCAATAAGTTCTATTGAATAGTCAATGGTTGATGTAACATCTGCTCCGAATGATAAAACAGTGTCGACACCAACATCAATCTTTGCGGAAGCTAAAAGTGCCACCTCGGGTCCTATATTGAAAAGAGCGGGTATCGATAATCCGGGTATTCCGACTGATACAAGCGGTACATCTGGAAATTTTTTTGCGACTCCGATATGCCCTTTCAATGCAAAATCGAGATTAACCTTGAAATCTCCATATAACGAGAGTGTGACCGTTGCGGGTAGACCAACGAAATTAGTTTTAACGTGAAGACCCACAGTTGTTTTACCGGTCGCATAACAATTAGCGCAAAGCAAATTTACAGAAGTAGTAACTATGCCTTGTTGTTCTGATGATGAAGCAATTAGGAAATTTGGTTGTGAGGAACGTTCATTGATAGGATCATACCAAACATTTAAGTTTAAAGCTAACTCGTTGTCAATATCGCGACGAGTTAGATTTTCATGACGGCTTTCATGGCGTTTAGATCTATAACAAGATCTAGAACATGGAGTAATATATTCAATATCCAAGGTCATAATATTTGCGTATTTTGAGATATCAATAATTTGCGGATGAGCAAATTTTGCTGTTCCTTCCTCCTCATCAATTACCGAATTTCCTACAATAAAAAACTGGTTTGTTTTCTTTCCATTACAAGTCCACATATGACTAACCCAGAGAATAACTCTTGGTGGCCAATTTGAAATCTCTTTTAAGGAGCTCTTTGAGGTTAAAATAATCTCATCAGAGCAGCATTGAACGTTTGTAAAAATGCCACTCGAATCAGGATTAAACCCAGGAATTTTCGTTTCGAATACGATATTTGCGACATGTCCGGGTCTATCCGTGAGTTTTTGAGAGACAAATTCTCTGGAATAGGCTTGTGAATAAGTACCGCTGAGTACAGTGCATGGGGTGATGAGATTAGCATTTCCTGCAGCCACGATGGTGCAAAGAATTAAGAGAAAATAACTGAGCTTAACCATTATGTGGTTTTAATACAAGATGATATATAAATATAATTAGGGGCAAAGAACGAAGAGCGGTAGCTTTTTTCTTACTGAAACTTAGACGCATTTATATGGATTTACTTTCTTAGGATTTTTAATCTCACATCTATTCGTTACAAGCAAAACTCATTGAGATGGCGTCACCACAAAGTAAGTTAGTACACGTCAACCTCTATAACAACACCCTCTAGTGACATCTATCATAGACAAACCCCCAACTGAGTTGATAATAAATGACACAGATTATTACAAAGAAAAGCTACAGACAAAGATTTCACCAAATGAATATACTGTAATGAACCTTTTTATAACGAATACAGGATATAATGAATATAATGAACCTTTTTATAACGAATACAGGATATATTGAATATAATGAACCTTTTTATAACGAATACAGGATATAATGAATATAATGAACCTTTTTATAACGAATACAATGAAACTTTTTATAATGAACACAGATATAGCGATAGAAAATTTAAACCTGACATTTTTAAGAAATTGCACCGTAAATATTTATTTTACGGAAAAAAATTAAGGCTTAATTTTCTACAGAGGGGTGGTTTATGCGGCAATGCATCTTTTTATAACGAACACAGGATATATTGAACCTTTGTATAACAAACGCATACTATAATGAACCTTTTTATAAAAATTTTTACACTCATGTGATGTTTTCCAAAATCAACGTTTAACGCAAAGATTCAAAACAAGTGCTTATTAGCTTGTATCTCGAAATTTTGCATATGAAACTGCCATTTATGTTATAACAAAAAGGCTCCTTGCGAAATTTTACTATAATATTTATTTTCACTTACTGTACATAATCCTAATTCTAATTCTAATCCTAAATTCTAACCGAAACTAATAATTTATTTGTGATTTGATTGGTGAGTATTAAATTAAATTAAATCAACGAGAATAAAAAGTATAAAGCGAGTAGTTACCATTTCTTTTAGACATTGTCCTATTTTGTTGGAAATGTTTCATCATGAATCTGTAGTCGAGCAAAATTTTCGATCACTAGCTGATCACATTGGCGATGCTTGAAAACATCAATCAACTCATATGAATAAAATATTTAAAATATAAGGAGTTCAAATTCAAACTTCAATAAAGATAATTCTCATAATCCACATTACAATTATCAAGTTCTATAACCAATTTTAATTATATATTAATATTTCAACAGTTTCTGGAGTAAGATTTGATTAATAATTATTAATAGTACTTTCTATTGTATTAAATATCTGAATATTATTACACATTTTTTACTAATTATGAAATTAGCTAAGAAATATAAACAAGAATTGAAAGAAAACACTAAATAAAAAGTTTATGTTCAATGTTAATTTTATTGAAATTGTTAGTTTAATAAAAAAAGATAAATATATGAAAGAAAAAGTAAAGAAAATATCAAAAAATAAATAATATCCTAATTCTCTATATTAATATTACAAACTACAAATTTATTTTATACAATTTCAAATTTTGCTTGTAATATTAATTATTTTGAAATTATTATATATTATTAAGCCAAATATTCTGATATATTATATTCTATCAAGATTTTTTTGAATTATATCAGGAGAATATGATATAAAAAATAAGATATATTATAATAAGAATATAATGTAAGAAATAATATACTAATATAATAAATATCTTGAATCAGATAACATCAATAATAATAATAATAATAAAAATAAAAAAATAATTATTAAGAAAAAATAAGTATAAATCAAAATAATCAATATAACTTAGAATTTAAAGAATATTTTAATAACAAAATTTTAAATTATATAAATAATTGGTATTAATTATTATAATAAAAGTTTATTTGTTATAATATAAAATATATATTATATTTTAAATACAATTTAATTTATTAGAATTTTTTATAATATATAAATATAGATTTAAACAATATAATATGATATAGAATATTTTACTTAATAAAATATAATATTAATAATTATAAAATATAATATTAATAATTATAAAATATAATATATAAATATAATAATTTTAATATAATAAATATTTATTAATAATAAATATATTTGTAAAGCTTGTATTTATATTAGTTATTGCAATATTTTTATTAGTTTATAATAATTATTATTTTATATATAATTTTTTAATTATTAAAATATTTAAAAAGTATTTTATTAATAAAAATTTCAAATCTTCTATAATATAAAGCTAATCCAAGAAAATCTTTTAATTCTATTAGATTTATTAATATTAGAAATTGTTCTATAATTATTATTTTGTTAAATTTGATTGAATTCTATTTTTGCTAATAATATATTCAAGAAAGTTAAATATTAATTTTTTAAACTGTCATTTTTTTGATTAGTATTTAATATTGAAATTGTTTTAAATATTATTACTAATTTAATATAATAAATACATAAATAAAAAGTACAATTAGTTATAATAATATTTTAATTATATATTCAAGTCAAAAATATTTTTATTTTTCTATTTTTAGTTTATTATTATTTTAATTTAGATATATTAATTATACAATTTTCTTGACAAATTTATTATTTTTTATATTTGTTTAATTTCTATTTTCATTTTGCTATTAGTACTTTAGTATAGAACAAGATTATTAATTATAATATAATTAATTTTTTGTGTAATTAGAAAAAAACCAATAATTTATAGTAATAG